GTATTTCATTGTGACTTGAACCAAACTACTATTATAACTGGCATTCTTTGTTAAATGTTCAAGCGGTTTATCTTAATTGTTAAAATTTCAATAAAGATATTTTGGGGAAAAAAAAAACACATTTGTTTAGGATTGCCTTCGACTGTTCTACTTTAACAGTTCATCTAAAACATCATTAGTTCAACTTTTTTATTTTCTTTAGTCCAACTGTTTTTAATGTTCTTTTTTGTTTCTGCATTTTTTTATTTTATTGTTTCCTACTTGCTTTGCACTTTGCACTGTCTTTGTACTGAATTGTGCTATACAAATACATTTGCCTTGCCTTGCCTTGCCATTAACAGATAGTAAAACATATTGAAGTTCATGACTAATTTGAAAAAATTGGTAACAGTAAGAAAAATCGCTTGTTTCAAATATCTTGTTTAGCTGTTTTGTCTTCATGGATGAACTCAAGGTGAACATTCTAATTGTTTTTTGAATTGTTGGAACTGAATAATGCTGCAAACACAGATAGCTGTTAAATTCCAAAATAGATGGGACTAGGTTGAGAAAATAAGTGATATTTGGGAGTAGGACTTTGTAATGAGGATATGACAAAAGACACTCAAACTGGCTTTTCTGTACTGAATAGTGTGGAGAGGCCTGGTAATGGTTAAATGGAACAATAAAAGCATGAAACAAGAAAGAGGGCAGACTCAGACAGCAGCTCACACACATTCAGGCTTTGTGCTCACAGAGCTCCGCACACAACTGCTACTTCTCTCCCTGAATGATTCTTTTAATACGCTCACACTTTTGCAGTGATTAAGTGGAGCCGCCGCACCACCTGTCATGCCTGATACATCTCCGATGGATTTACCAAAAATTGAATATTGATCTCACAATAAATTTTGTGAAGGGGATGAAAACACAGAAACGCAGCTGAATTTCTCATGCTAGTCTTTTTCTAATCTGAGCCATGGCACTTTTACAATGTTTTCACGTTATTTACATCAGAAGTGTAAAATGCTCTGTGATCCTTAACCCTTCATGAGAAATAAAAATGCTGTTTGAAGCTCCTTTTGACAAATAGCATAAAATATTTCTTCACAACTGACTGAAAAGAAAAATCTGTATACCCTGTGATCCAATTCAGAGTTTATCTCGCTTGTAATTGAGACTAATTTTAAAGAATTTACACTTTCTTTACTGTTTGTACCAATTTTGAACTAGACCTTAAAATAACTTACAAATATTATGATAAATAAATGATACCAAAGTACAGTAGCAGCATCACTGCTGACCTAAGGTGACTTTAGAGGGAGAATTGAGTTACTTTATTCCAGCCCTCTTGCCCACATAGCTATTCTTCAGAGACTAGCTGTACAAGTTCAAGCTACCATGCGTTATGACACATCTGGTCTGGGTTGCTGAATTGCCACACTGAGGATAGAGCAGCGAAAGAGCCAGCTGCTTGTTTATCATAATAATTAAAAAAAAGTCTGTAATGTCTGGGTCACAAATCAGCTCTGATAACTGGCTATCAAGCGGGTAGAGATCAAAACGTCTATGGAGAATATCCTGCAAAGCTGATTTTAAAGGGTTTACCTCACTGTGTTTAGCTCAATGAATAGAAGGGTTTCATAAATTCATACTTTGTATTCCAGGGAGCTTTAGTGACTTATACTTAAAGTGTAATCAGAGTAAAATCCTTAGAGGTTTTCATTTGGCTATAGAGACTGAGCAGGAACCCCACATGATACAACTTCGGCTTCCTAGGTTTCATCTGATGTATAAACCATAAAGGAGGGGAAACCGGTGATGATTTATTGTAGATCTGGTGAGAACTACAGTATATTTTGCACTAAGAGCAATTTCAGAAAATAATCCAAACTTTATCTTTTCCAAATGTTGAAGAAGCTGGTGTTAGTTCCTTGTCTACCTCTTTCCATTTACTTTGTGTAATGCGCCAATACCTGTGGCAGCAAAACAAAACATAAACAGGACGCTTTAGTACACAGTTATTTGTTTTGAAATCACTTTAATTCTTCTCAACATACTCACTCCATTGTGATCCATATCTTCTAACTTACATAAGATCCCAAACCAACCGCTATGATATATTGAGATTGAAAATGATTACTTCCCTTTTGTGTAACTCTGCTTGTTTTTTAACATCTTAACCAACTAAATTTAACCTGCTGACACTTTAATTCCTTTGAAGACACACCAATGCTTCTAAACATGCGATAAAACTAGGTTCATAATAGTACAAAAACTAGGAAATTGTGGCACTCAGTGGTGCATATTTGTTTAAAACATGTTTTAGTAAAGTTACTCACAATGGATCGAGTAGCCAGTAATTTTACTCAAGTAAGGGTAGTGCTTTTTCATATCATATTTTTTTCATCTTATCATATTTTTATCCAAGTAAAAGTTAAAGGTAGAATACTGTAAAACTACTCCTCAAAGGATTTTTTTTTTTTTTAAAGTTGCTCAAATAAATGTAAGTAGTTACTACCCACCTCAAGGAACAACTGACAGGGGTGTTGTCCCCCAGTTGGTGGGCATAATCTAAAGTACCTTCAGTTACAACTAGGGATGCACGATATAATCGGCCCCCTATCAGTATCGGCCTGTATCGGCCTTAAAACTGAATATCGGACATCGGCCACTCCATCGATATTTAACCGATATTTGATCAGCTTCTGAGTTTCTAAAGTCTACAAAAAATAAAAAAATACTACTTCTTCTTCCTCCTCAAAAACTTCTTTTTTTACAGACTTAAAAACTTCTAAAGACAAGGGAAAAAATATTGATACACAAAAATATCACAATATCTTCATATGCTGATATATTGCCATTTAAAAACACCATATCAATCTCTTTTACTTTACTCTCTTACTTTACTCTTTTACTAATGAAATATTGCTATATGTCATCGTTATGCTACGAAATCCCCCGAAAATTCACGAAATTTTGCCATATTTTTATATGTTGATATATTGACGCGGTATCGATCTATTTTACTAACAAAATCTCACAAGAATTTGCAAAATATCACGAGAGTTTGTAACAGAACGATGAAATTTCACAAGATTTTGAAAGTAAAATAGATCGATACCACGTTTTTAAAAAATAATTTGATATCAGCATATGAAAACATATTTGAGTATATTATTTTTCAAAGTGTCAGAAATGGATAACAAAACTGCTATTTTCAACGACTACTTATTTTTGTCCAGCTTTAACATCAGTATCGATATCGGTTATCGGCTACATGAGTTTTAAAATATCGGCATATCGGATATCGGGCAAAATCCCAATATCGTGCATCCCTAGTAACAACACACTAACTCAAATTTACACTAAGGGCCTGCTTTTCTATAGGTTTGTTTGTAATAAAACTGTTAAATACTTGTTTGCACACACAAAAGCTGATTTTCAAAGCAGGTGCAATTTCTAATGTGTTTGTAAACAGAGCAGCTTGTGAAAACTTTTTTTCGGGTTTGTGCCACGATGAACATGCAGATCATATTCTAATTACAAAACTGCGCAAAATTCTAGCTGGAGGATGTGCAAATGTGAATATTAATCACTTGCAAAGGGATTTATCAAAGCCGAAACTGATGCAAGCGCAATTATTTTCATCTATATTAAGTATCTTTGGAAGTCGGGTACAAACTCATGCAGAAATGTCCCTATTGCCACAAAGGAGACATTTGTAGCCATACTATAATAATATTAGTGGGAAGAAGACTTTATAGAGGATGTGCAGCTTACATCAGCTAATCAACTGACAGCAGCGACCCCTCCTTCTAGGACGACAAAATAAACCGTTAAAACAGCCAAGTAAAACTCCAGGAAGCGCACATCATTATTTTTTTTCTTTACCAGAACCTTGTCATTGATTTGAAGAAATCTTCCCTTTCTTTTTCTATGCATGCATATTGTATTTTTTTTTTTAGAAACTGTGTTTTGAAGTGTAGAGTAAATGTCTTCCTTAGCCCAGGGCCACAGTGCTCAATGGGTGAGCTTGGAGCAGTGTTCTACCATTTTTATCTAGAAACTTTTAGGATTTGGGATTCAGATCAAAACCCCGAGAGAGAAATCTGCCTTCTTTTTTCTTTTGAGGAACTAGCTGTTGGTTTATCTTTAGCTCATCCCTGCTCAACAAATCAACTTTTAATCGAATCTTTGTCTTTTTATGAAGCCATCTGGCATGCACAAGAATCTTAGCTAATTAGGAAAAATCAAAATGTCTGCAAAGATTGTAATTAAAACATCTGATCTCCTCCCAGCAACAAAAATACATGAGACTGGGACTTTTTAGTTGCAGCGGAGAGTGATAAAAAGAAGTCAGTGTCTACCTTTAGAAAGCTGGTAGACTGGGAGCTGTAATTGCAGTGAAATGGTTCCTCAGATTATCAACTCAAAGGGGCTAAATAAAAAAAAGCAGCCCACACATTGTGTAAAATTATTTGTAAAACATCAAAACCATATTCTGTTTCCAGTTCTTTTCACTTCCTTATTGCATGACTAATTTGTTTGTGTATGAGATAAAACATTCTAACAAAATAGGCTGTGGTTATAACATGACAAAATGTGAAAGCGTTCAGGGAGTGAAAATACTTTTCTAATACACTATAGTACATTTTTATATGTTCTATAACTCTAGATCTATAGAAATCTAAGTGGAAATTGTAGGATTTATTTTTGAAGCACTATCTTCTTTAATATTGTTTGTCTATTTTACCATTTAATGTATATCTCTATACACAGTTGGTATATAGCCTATTTTGTTGCCCTGTTATTGAGTGCAGCATCTCATTTAAAGTGTGACCACAAACACTAATTAGTTGACAGAAAAGATAAGGCAGAGCTGCAGAATTGACCTTCATAGAGGTTGTTCATGACCTAAACTGACGTATTAGTTGATAAAAGGCCTGATGTGAAGTCTTTGTTCCCATTTGAGGCCCTTCTGATGCACTTGTTTGTTTCCTCTTCTCTCCTCTCTACAGCCTCCTTTGGAAATTTCTCTTAGCTCATCCCAGGACGTGTCTGGCAGTGCTTTCTCTCGTCTCCTGTCACAATACATCTCCAGGAGCTGCGGAAGAGCTGCTATCTCCATATATGTGAGCGGTGAATCAACGAGTGAAAGCGGGGGAAGGGCAAGCCTATAGACTGTATGCCAACTGGTCTTGAGGATTCTCATTCAGTCCAGCCAATCTGCTTTACTGGCACCCTAACAGAGACAAAGGACCGTTCAAAGCAGGGAGACACTCTCTATCATGATGCAATGAAAGATTCACTGTTCTAGTGATGATCCAGACCCAACACTTGTGTAATCATTGCAAATGTCCCTATTGATCCGTGTTGCATTTGGATCGAACCAACTGGACAGTTCTGACAGAAATATGGGTTTTCTATATTTAAGATTTTGGCAAATTGGATGCACAGAGATCCACTCTCATCTAATTAAATTGATAGTTCTCTGGAGCAGTTTGGAGTAGTCAGAGTCCGGGTCAGGGCGTGTCTGGTTAAAAAGCTAATTTTCACGATTTTTAAAGAATTTTGAACTAAATAAACCTCTTTGTAAGGCTTTAACATACATCTCTGTGTCAGTATGATAGCCATTTAGGTCTCATTAATGTGTCTGTCCCTGTAATCATGTTTATGGTTGTTTTAAACTAAACATTCATCTTACAGATATGCAGTTTCAAAGCAGTCTATTAAAAAGAGAAGGAAAAAAAATGTGTAATGAAAGAATTAAGAGATTTCTCACCAGGATATTAAAACAATTTTAAATACCTTTGCTTCTGAGAAATACTTCATCCAAGCATGGAAGACTGCAGCCTCTACACTTCCTGTTTCTTTTATAAAAACAAACAGGTGTTTTTGTTGTTTCTGTTTTCTTCGGTTTCTTTCTGACTCTAGCTTTTCATGTCTTTGTGTCGCCATTTTAATGTCGCCGGCATTTATTTAAATACTATGTAAGTATATGGTTATGTGCTCTAAAATACAGATTGTCCTCCACGGAAAACTTGGTTAACTTACCACTTCCTGTTGAACAACCTTGAAGAGTAATGGCACAGTTAAAGAATTAAGAGCTGCTTTAAGTAACCACAGTCTCATGAAAGTTCATGTTATTGATATTTACTTTTTTGTTCTGTTTAGTAACGAGGTTTAGAACAAATATGACAAGAGGTATTGGAGGTATAACTGATTACTCCAAAGTACTCCAAAGAACTGCATAGAAAAATTGGATCTATCCCTTTAAGATTACTAAGCCTATGATTAATTTACATGTTTTCTGTCAGGATTCCTTAAATCCTGGTGTGAATATTTTATGTTAAAGTAAGGCTTCTAATATGTAAGTATTTAAATTTAAAACCTTGGGATAAATGTTATTTCCAAAATAACCTTTCTTTTTATTGTGACTTCACAGCTAAATATTATTCAAACAAATTGACCTTTCTATAACTGAGTGTAGTAGAGTGACATACACTTTAATTTGTGTATTTGTGGTTTATTGATGGTTGAAACGACGGCCTTCTGGAGTCAACAAAGGCTCAGTGACCGCTTAGGCTTGATAAAGCAATCATTTGGGTAGTTACAGCTTAATATTAAAGGACAAACAATTTCTACTGATGTAGCAGGGTCTGTTGACAGAAATGTGTGCCACTTTACAATGTACATAACCTGACACTTGCAGACACTGTGAAAAAAAGTATACAGCCCTCTGATGTCTTCTGTCCTATTTCTTTCCCTGAGATGATGCTGAAGTTTCTAATGCTCATAAAGAAAGACTGTGAACACTTCTGAGAGCCAGATGGAAGATTCCCAAAGGGGCTGAAGTCTGCAGATGTAACTCCAGGCAGTAATGGTCAGCTTTTTATAATGATGGTTCTCATATCCCAATAAAAAAAATATGAAACATGATAAAACATAGAAACATCCAGCAAATACAACCTGCCCACTGCACATTCTTCCACGCATCCTTTAACAGGACATGAAGAACAGAGAGACTGACTGTTAAAAGAAATAAAACTCACTGTTTTTTTCTTAGATAACCAATTGCACTGTAAATATCGACACATTTGGTTAGTGTTATCAGAGTATTGATGAACTGTTTCAAATGCAGGAAAGCAAAACTATAACATATTTATCTGCTCTACAGGTTCAAACATAAATGTATGTGTTTTTTAAAATAAACTTATTGAAAAAAAATAACCAAAAAATGTTTATTCTTTTTTTAAACAGGCAAAAGTTTAGAAGAGGACAATAGATAGTTTTCAGTTGCTGAGCATTTAAAGTCTACATTCAATGGAAATGATGTTCTTTGATTGATTCAATGAAAAACCACTTTATCAAGTTAGCAAAATATTTCCCAGAGCATCATAGATTGTTAATCACTTTTCCTTTTTTTAATTTTGAAAACAACAAAACGAAAATAGTTAGAAACTAAATTATTTCCCACATGACAGTAATTTTCTTAAATGTGCATATAGAAGTAGTCATTCGCATATTCCATAGATGATTTTAGGTTGGGCTAATGTGTCAGTTTGGTGAGTTTTAGGGTTAGGGCATAAATAGGGTTGAAAATGACTGAAAATCAATGGGAATCAACACATGGTCCTCACTTCATATAGCAGAATGAAGTTTGTGTGTAGACAGATTTTTATAGTATATACATACATACTGTAGTCAAGTCCATTTATCTTCTAATCTTATTTAGCCCAATTTCAGGAGCACAGATGCTTACCTTTCTTCAATAGCATTGAAAAACCTTATGTTCGACTGGAGAGGTTGCTTTTCTAACTTGGCAAACACAGCCATGAACAAACATGCTACTGACTAACCTATCATATGATGTAAGTGAAAAGTTTACACACTGTCCTGATGAGAAAGGATGTGAGATCAATTCACTTATATATATATATATATATATATATATATATATATATATATATATATATATATATATATATATATGTATGTATAACCTTTCATTTACCAAGATAAACAACTTCCATGAATATCCAAAGAAAAAGAAAATTATGCACAATTTTTCATCAAATATTGGTCAAAATGATATTTACAGGCCGAAATATATACATACACCTCTGTTAATATTTGGTTTAATAACCAATAACCCACCTCATTTTTCTCCTTCCATACTGATTCTATGACCATTGTATTCTGATCGTTACTGCAAAGTTGAACCCTTACTGCTACTGGTTTGACCCAAGGGTAACAACTGAGGTTGTACTCATCGTTTATCATGATCCTACTACCTTTATAACTGAAACCTCATACGGTAAATGGCCTGTACTTATATAGCATTTTTTTCCATCTGCCCTCTGAAACATCATTTCGGGTCTATAACTGAACTGTGTATATAAAGGGTTTCCTATACAGATGTTGACTTTGTCCCTCTCAGACATATCATCACGCACATCCGTAACACATGCACACTCAGATCCAATTACTGCAGGACATCAAGCATTTCACCTGTTAGTTTCAGGGCACATGTATGATAAACAGATTCAGTGAACAGTGACCTTCTCAACCTTGGTAGGGGAATAAATCTGCACAGCAGATGGTTGGATGATTCAGTTAATTGGAGTCTGTTTAGTCTTTCATTTCTGTTTTATATCCCTCTGTTTGCCGTTTGGATATGATGATCTGTTGCGAAAGCTTTTGAGACTGTTCCCTAAAATACGCCAATCCTTCAACTCTTTGCTTCTTCCAGTTTATCTGTATCTCCTTGGGACTTTGATCAGCTGGCTCTAAATCATCTGACAGCAGACAGATGTAATGAGAAACACTCCTGGCCGCCCCACCTCTCCTCTGACAGTGGCTTGACTGAAGGCCTTCAATGAAATGAATGGCTCAAAACAAGTTTTACTTGAGAAGCCTAGCTGTTAAGAGATCTTTAACAGTATACAGATGCATTTATTTGCTTTGCTGCCTTTGATTATAAAAGATAAGAGGAAAAAATATTTGACTCTGTTAGGCTTTTTGATTGAGCAGGCATCTCCATTTACCCAGTTCAAAAAGCATTAAGTATGCCTTTGTTCATTCTGTAGAGGAGAGAAAAATAAATAAGCACCATGCTGATTTATGTTCTTTTTTCCTCTTGAAATGAATCACAGGTCAAACAATGCCCCAGGTGAAATATTTACCAGCATCCATTAAAAAAGAAAGGACGAGGTTGATTTAATTTCATCAGCTGGAAATTACAGCTGTAATGAAGAAGTACCATAATTTAATGGTTTTAGGATCAGGAAGTTAGGAACAAATTGAAGTTATTAAAAACTCCTTTGTACAAACACACAACACCACACATTTTGAAGTTACAATGAGGTGCATTTTTCCTCTGAAATAATATAACTGCACTGCCCCCTAGTGGCAAAAGTATGCACATAAGCCTTAATTAAATATGGTGTTATAAATCAAAAAAAGTACATAAAAGATCAATGATATGAAAATAACAACAAAAATAATAATAATAATAATAATCATTGTAGTAATAGAAGGAACATGCTTAGACTTAACTAAATTAATATGAAATACAAACAGTTTCCATATTATACGAATTATAAAAATGCTACTAATACTAATAATAATTAATTGCATCTATATTATTAATAACCACACTAATAAAAGCAGCAGAAGTAGTAATGCTACTGATACATTTATAACAATATAAATGCATTCAAATAATGAATATTATTATACTTATTAAGAAAAAGAAAACAAAGAAAAATATCAATATATTTTTTCTGGGGTATAAAATAAGAAGTACATAATAAATGGTATGCTATTGCGTGGAGTTTTGTAAATAACCCCAAAATAGCTCAATATATATCTCTAACTTTTATTTATTTTTAGCAGCTTTTTATACTCATCTATTTTCTCAAACTTTTTTTAAGTCCAATATTGCAAAATATATATATATATATATATATATATATATATATATATATATATATATATATATATATATATATATATATATATATATATATATATATATATATATATATATATATACACACTGTGGAATACTCAAATAAAACTCTGCTGCCATCTAGAGACGATATTTAAAAAAATTAAAATAAAATGAAATAAATAAAGTTTTACTACATAAATTACATCATGGTTTCAATTCAATTCAATTCAGTTTATTTATATAGTGCCAAATTCACAACACATGTCATCTCAAGGCACTTTACAGTTCAACCAGATCATACAGTCAAATTGATACAAAGTTTTCTATCTAAGGAAAACCAGTTGATTGCATTGACTCATTGACTCAAATACAATCCCTCACACTAAGCAAGCTTGTAGCGACAGTGGAGAGGAAAAACTCCCTTTTAACAGGAAGAAACCTCCAGCAGAACCAGGCTCAGTGTGAGCGGCCATCTGCCGAGGCCGACTGGGGTTCAATGAGACAGAAGCAGAGATACAAAAAGCAGCTGTAAAAGGCGGCCCCGTCCAGGAAACACACAGCCAGGCAGACGAGCTCCAAGGCAGATAATCTCCACTAAAAGGAGAATATCAGTTTATGTTGACTGGCACCAGTCAAAGAGTAGGAGAGTTGGTTGTACTAAAAACAGAGAGGTGGCAAAGAAAGCATGAATGATTCATGAAGTCAGCTGTCTTTATGAAGAAGATGTAGGCTCATACCATATGTGAAACGTTTATTAACAGCCGCTTCAGATGAGTGAAGCCCTGCAGTGTGGAAGAGAATTAGGGCCACTGAAAAAAAAAAAAAGATTTAAAAATTTTATATGTTTAATATGGGAAAAAATTCAGATTTCTGACTTTACTCTCAGAATTCTGACTTTAATCTCAGAATTTGGACTTTAATCTCAGAATTCTGACTTGAATCTCAAAATTCGGACTTTAATCTCAGAATTCTGACTTTAATCTCAGAATTTGGACTTTAATCTCAGAATTCTGACTTGAATCTCAAAATTCTGACTTTAATCCCAGAATTCTTACTTTAATCTCAGAATTTGGACTTTAATCTCAGAATTCAGACTTTTTTCTAAGAATTCTGACTTTAATCTCAGAATTCTGACTTTAATCTCAGAATTTGGACCTTAATCTCAGAATTCAGACTTTAATCTTAGAATTCTGACTTTAATCTCAAAATTCTGACTTTTTTCTCATAATTCTGACTTTAATCCCAGAATTGTGAGATTTTTCTCAGATTTCTGACTTTAATCTCAGAATTCTGACTTTTTTCTCAGATTTCTAACTTTAATTTCAGAATTCTTACTTTAATCTCAGAATTCTGACTTTTTTCTAAAAATTCTGACTTTTTCCCATATTACTGTAAACTGAAATAAAATTTAAAAATCAGTTAACTTTTTTTTTTTTCCTTTTTCTGTGGCCCTAATCCTCTTCCGTACTGCAGCCAGCTGACACAGCATCTTTTTTAATAATTAATTAAGCCAATTATGGTTAATTATTTTGTGATAAACATGGTTACCATATTATGTCTGAATGTTGACCTTGAATTATGTGTCATTATAACTAATCATTTCACAGGCTGCTGAAGATGGCATAAGGAAATGTTTTTTTTCTTTCTATTTTGGGCGTACATTGTATTCCGTAGATTATTTAGCAGATATTGACACACTGAACTCAAGCTGCGGGTCAGATTGGTAGAATATTTAGCTCAAGCTCGATGCAAACACTTATCGGGGGGCTGATATGAGGAATTTAA